AAGATCAAAGGGAAAAAAGAGAAAGTAAAATATGAAGATAAAGCGGAAAACACAGCGCTAATTCCTACCAACTTACCACCGCCAAAGGTTGCAAACTCTAGTTTCTAATGTGGAGCGACGGCATTTTCAAGCGACCACCTTGTGCTACTATCCAGTGAAACGAATTCGTTAATCTGTCACATCGAGAAAATGTTGCAAGTGCCACGTATTTAAACATGTTGAAGCAGAATGCACAACTCGGAGAACGATCAACTTCACTAGCAGGGAGTCATTGAAAAGTTGGGTAAAGACACTGCAACCACTAAAGAGCAATTCAAATGAGAATTTTCATTCGATGAAGTCTTCCCCCACGGAACTCCTCTGTTCGTGGATACATCCAAAGCTTTTCCTCCATGTGATCAAAAGGAACATGCAATTTTTAATGAGATTGTGGTTTCTGCTCTCCTAGATGATAGAGAACTTTTTGTTGAGACATATAAAGATTGCACAAACCAGAAGAAGTTATAATTTAAAATTTCAGTTGATGGTCTTGGTGACGGCCAACTGATATCATCATAGGCGGCTACACTTCCAACCTTTGTCCCCAGTGTTCCATATAAAAAGACAAAAGGCCAAGGTGAAGCTTTTGTCATTGGAACACAGCAGAAGATGTAAGTTCTCCAAAACTTCAAGAATCAGAGGAAAAAGCCAAAAAATAATAAGAATCACTAATCAACCTAACTCCTGCAAACCCTCCACCTCGCTGAGGCCCAACCTGTAGTGGATGAGAAGCATATGAGATATTTACTTGTTCGGAATTTGGCTCAGGAGAACCTACATTGTTGTGTACCTCCGGCACAGATTATGCCCAATCAGAACGGATCAATGAGGAGGTATGCTTGCAAGTGGGAAAAGCTTCGTAGATGCTTTAGGAGTCAGTCAAGTCACCAGTGGGATTCATGAACGGTTGGCGAGAACTAGATGCTTCGACAGATTGAGTCAAAGTTGCCCAACCTTGGGAGACTGACGAGAAAGTGGGATCTCCCGCAGCGGAAGCAGAAGCAGGATCTCTCGGAGCGGGAACACGGGAACGAGGTTTCCCATAGCTGGAACTCCCGTTGTTGAACCGGCCGGTCCAGGGTAAACTCAAGCTGAGCGACCTAGGGACGGTAAATTGATGGGGAGGGCCCCTCTCCTCCTTCCATTCTTGTTTCTTCTTCATATGGAAGTATTTTAATGGTTATTTCTGGATCTTCCTCCCCACCTGACCTTTTGTGTGGGAGTTGGGAGTTTTCTTCTTTATTTCATTCCTTTTCTTCTTTAATGAGAGTCTATAAATTATTATTTTTTGATTGTAGGGGGCAATTTTTGTTGTGTGTTGATTTCAAATTCCTTTGTGAAGCTCTCTCCCTATTCTAAGGTTGTATCTGACGAATTGGTGGTGCCCCGGCTGTATCCTAGTCCAATGTGGTGTTGTATCATTTCCCTTTCCCTAATCCTTCTCTTCCCCTCTCCTTAGTCGTCGGTCTCTCCCCCCCCAACAG